TCAATATGAAATTATTGAATTTCCGCCAAAAGGCGAATCGGCAACACGACAACTACGACGTTTTCATAGTGTACGCTTTGAAGTGATCATTGCAATGATGCCTGTCACGAGTTTCGCTGTGCTTATAGAGTTAGTTGTGTTGTGTTCATATGTGCACATTAGCATTTGTACATACACCTCAAACCCTGCCTGCTGTTCTCGCCAAAGGTGACGTCAAACATTAGGGCGCGACAAGAGCGAAACCATACATCGGTGATTGCACGTTTCCTTGTTCGACACGCGACTGCTAGACGAGTGATGTTACGCAATGAAAAATGAGGCGCAATATGGAACAGGGATAAAATGCTACGTTGCACCGAAGAGGCTGACTATGACAGATGCTTCTTGTCTAGCGGCAGCTATAAAGTGTAATTTGACTGATTATGCATCTGCGCTTCAAAGTTCGCATAATACCGACACGAGGCCACTCAGCAGGGGCGACACATATGCTGTCGTTCGTCGGTGACGGACCTCCAAGTTGGCGGCAAAAACTGACTGCTACCGCCTTCGACTCCCTCCCCTTATTCACAAGTTTATATGAAACGCAACGATGCTCGAAGACTCCTTCTTCACCGGTTGTGAGCAGGTGATGACTAAAAGTGACGGTTAAAATTCTGTCAAACTGTATATAGCCTACATGATGATCGACAAATGTTAGGCATCATCCTCATTTCTCATCTTAGTCTTCTGCAGAAGCAAAACGCATAAAATGATGTGTTTTAAGCTATGATATGTCTTCGCCGTTGATGTGTATCCCTCGCATTCGGAACTTACCATTCTGCGTTGAGAGAAACTGGGTTAGACAAAGTTGTGCTACACTTCTGTAGACGTTTCGTCAGTGAAATCGAGTAAAAGGACCATCGAAGTGGGCTATTGCGCATGGAAGAAATGGACAGTGACTGTCCATACCGATCCTCTGAGAAACAGCGTAAATGGTGGCATTGTGTAAGCAAGCGGCTGGTATTCACTGGTGAGCTGCCGACAAATATTCAGGCCTTATAACGCGATACATCACAACTGCTGTGGAATGCAATAGAAAACATGGATACAACCAAGCTAGTTAGACGAAAGAGGGTCGGTCAGTAGGCTACGAGCGGAAACATCGTTACTGGTCAACCATTCGATTGACCATATTTTTGCTTTGTGCATAAATGAACCTCGTTTTATGCTGTTTCCAGTATGTTTAAAAACCGAAGTTTACTCTTCTATGCGGAAGCCAAGTTCAAAGTTGCGAAATATCATTCGCATTGTCATGTCATAATGCTATTGTCCCCGGGATGGCGAATGACATTCATAACATTGCATTGCGAATGGTTATCAGAATAATAAGTGTTCAATATATTTTAAGCTAGTCAGCGATGATCGCCCGCAAGTATTGGTACCCTCGCCGGTAACGACTAGGCCGCTCAGTCGTTCTACGCCACTGTGGGAAGATTATATCAGGAACCGAAGGCCACGCTTGGAGGGAGAAGGCTCGAAATCGCGAGGAATGGACGGCGTGTTACCGCAGGCACGATTTGTCACGATTGCAGGAGTTATTTCAAGCGACGCGTACATGCTGAATTGAGGCATTGCGGCTTTCGCTGATGCCTTTGAAACAATCAATAAACTTAACAGAATGAGTCAAATCTACCAGTCACAAATACCGCTGATAGCTTTACAAATAAGTGAGCAATTTAGAAATGTTGCTCCACATTATTAGTGCAAGATTTCCTTCTTGTTGGCATTTTTTCGCAAAAAT